AAAAAATTAAAACTCTATTATTAACAACTTAAAAAGGGTAGAATTAATTGGGTAATAAATTATGTATGTGGATAGGATGACTCAATGATGTCATCTCTCCCCAAATTTGTCTGTAAATATAATGCATTTTCAATGAGAATTCAAGTAGGACAAGTAGACCAATATAGTAGAAGGAGTTGAGAAACATACTCATGTATATACAGAAACTTGGCATTTCATAGTAATATCATCATTAGTCAGTAGGGAAAGAATAGAGTCTTTAAAAGTTGGTGGTGAGTAAATGGTCTCAACAAAATAAATCGCTAATGCACAATATATTAAAAAAGTAATTAAAATCATAAATATGAAAAGCAAAATTAAAAGACTATTATGAGAAAATGTGGAAGACAGGGAAAGACAGATTTCTGTGGCACCTTAAGATTATACAACTTTGGCAGCTCTCTTTTATAAATAGAATATAAAATTACAAATAGAGAATTGGGATATTGTAATGCCCAACATCTGCTGGTTTTCAGTCCACCTAGACTTTTCATGCTCCATCAACTATCATGGGCCATACTTGGTATTGGCTTCATGTGGAAGGATACAAGGATAGGATGTACAATATTCTAGCATGGCAATGTCAGGAGTTTCTCTTCAGCATAACTCCTCAACATTGACATTTATAGAACATTCCACTCAATAAGAGCAGAAAATACATTCTTTTCACGCACACATGGAGCATTTACCATGATAGACCATAATCTGGGCCCTAAAACAGACTTTGACAAATTAAAAATATTGAAGTCATATAGTAGATTCTCTTAGCATAACAGATTTAACAAGAAATCAGTAATAGAAAGCTATCTGAGAAAATCCTGACATATTGAGAAAATAACCAAAAGACTTCTTAAAAAAACATAGATCAAAGGGGACATCACTATGAAAACTAGAAAGTATTTTGAATTGAATGAAAATGAAAATAAAACATATCAAAATTTGTAAGATGCAGATAAGTGATTAGAAAAAAATTCATATATGAAAAATTTTTATTAGAAAAAAAGAACAATGTCAAATAAATTATTTAACTTTTCACCTTAAGAAATTAGATAAGGAAAGCCAAATAAAAAGAAGACAATCAGAAGATAGAGCAAAATAACAGAGCAAATATCAATGAAATTGAAAACTGAAAAACAGTAGAAAAATTTTCTGAGACCAAATGAGATTCTTTGAAAAGATTAATAAAATGGATACACTGGGCCGGCCCCGTGGCTTAGTGGTTAAGTGCACACGCTGCGCTGGTGGTGGCCCGGGGTTCGGATCCCAGGCGCGCACCGACGCACCACTTCTCTAGCCACAATGAGGCTGCATCCCACATACAGCAACTAGAAGGATGTGCAACTATGACATACAACTAGCTACTGGGGCTTTGGGGGGAAAAAAAATTAAAACATAAAATTAAAAAAATTAAAATGGATACACTTCTAGCCAAGCCAACCAAGAAAAAAAGAGCAGAGACACTTGATACCAATATTAGGAATGAAAGAAGGGGCATCATACAGACCCTACAGACATTAAAAGAATAACAAGGGAGTATAATAAATAACTATATGCCCATAAATTTGACAACTTAGGTGAAATGAATGAATTTCTTGAAGGATACAAACTATTGAAGCTCACTTCAGAAGAAATAGACAATCCAGATATTTATTAAAGAAATTGAGTTTGTAGTTAAAATCCTGCCAATGAAGAAAACTACAGGTCCAGATGGCATCACTGGTAAATTCTAACAAACATTTAAAGAAGCAATACCACCAGTTCCACACAATCTCTTCCCAAGGATAGAAGTGGATGGGTTGCTTCCCAACCATTATATGAGGTCAGCTTTACCCTGATATCAAAACCAGGCAAAGACATAAGAAAAGAAAGCTATAGCCCAATATCTCTCATGAACATAGATGTAAAAATCCTTGAGAAAATATTAGCAAGTCAAATCTAACAATATATAAAAAGGATTATACACTACAACCAAGTAAGGTGTATCCTCAGAATACAAGGCTGATTTGAAAAGCAGTGTAATTTGCTATATCAATAATCTGAAGAAGAAAAACTATATTATCATCTCAATAGATGCTGAAAATTATTTGACAAAATTCAATATCCATTCTGAGAAAGTATTCTTGGAAAATTAGGAATAAAAGGGAACTTCCTTTGCATGATAAAGGACATTTACAAAAAACTTGATCCATTATATTTAGTGGTGAAAGACTGACTGCTTTTCCCTGAAGATATGGAACAACACAAAGATGTCCTTTCTTACCACTCCTTTTCAGTATCTACTGGAAATCCCGTAAGGTAGTGAAATGCTATAAGGCAAGAAAAAGAAATAAAAGGCATACAGATTGGAAAGGCAGAAGTAAAACTATCTCTATTCATAGATGACATGATTTTTCTATGTAGAAAATCTTAAGGAATCTACAAAAAAGGTCCTAGAACTAGGAAGTGAATTTAGTAGAGTCATGGGTATACAAGGCGAATATACAAAAATGAACTATATTTCTATATACTAGCAATGAACAATTAGAAATGAAAATTAAACAAAAACAATATTATTTAAAATAGCATCAAATAACATGAAGTACTTAGGTATAGCTCTAACAAAATATGTGCAGGATGTACATGTGGAAAACTAGAAAACACATGGCAAAAATCAAAGATCCAAATAAATGGAAAAATATTTTGTGTTCTTGAATTGGAAGGCTCAATATTGTTAAGATATCAGTTTTCTCCATATTGATCCATAGATTGAACATATTCCTGAGCAAAACTCAGCAGTAGTTTCTTTTTCTAAAATTTATCTGCAAAAGCAAAGGACCTAGAATAGCCAAGGCAATTTGAGAAAGAATTACAGAGTTGGAGGATTCATAGTACTTAATTTCAAAACTTAATATAAAGCCACAGTAATTAAGATAGTGTGGTATATGTGAAATGATAGACACATAATGGAACATAATAAGGAGCCCAAAAATAGACCTACACAAGTGGAGTTTTGACAAAGTTGCAAAGGCAATTTCAATAGAAAAGTAAGTCTTTTCAACAAATGGTGCTAAATCAATTGGACATCCATATGCAAAAACAAAACAAAAAAAGACGAACCTTGATCCATACTTCATAACTTGTACAAAAATTAACTCAAAATGGATCATAAACCTAAATACAAGACCTAAAATTATAAAACCTTTGGAACAGAAACAGGCAAACATTTTCTATAAAGGGCCGAATAGTAATTATTTTAGTCTTTGTGAGCCACCTATAGTTTCTGTCACATAATCTTTTTTTGTTACAGCCTTTAAAAATATAGAAACCATTCTTAGCTCACAGGCAGTTCAAAATCAGGCCTACAGGTCAAATTTAGCCCACAAGCAGTACTTTATTGTACCTTGGTTTAGATAAAAGCATAGCAGAAAATCTGTGTGATTGTAGGTTTGGCAAAGAGTTGTTAAATACAACACCAAAAGAACAATCCATAAAATAAAAAAATTGACAAATTTGACTTCATTAAAATGAAAGATACTTTCATCTCATTTATCTGACAAAGGACTTATAACCAGAATATATAAAGAACTCTCAAAAGTCAATAATAAGGAAACAACCAAATTTAAAGAATATAGTTGGAAATATGGGCAAAAAATTTGTACAGGTACTTCACCAAAGATACCTGAATGACTAATAAGCACACACAAAGAATCTCAATATAATTAGTCATCTAGGAAATATGAGTTAAAACTACAATAAGATACCACTTCCTGTCCTATCAGAACAGGCTTCAAAAAAGAAGGAAAACTGACAATAATAAGTGCTTCCAAGAATATAGTGTAACTAGAACTCTCATATATGCTATTTAAAATGCAAAATGGTACAGCCACTTGGAAAATCAGTTGAGCAATTTCGTATAAACATACCCTTACCACACTGACCCAGCAATCCCACACCTAGTTATATATCCAAGAAAAATGTAAACCTTCACATAAAACCCTGTAGATCAATATTCATAGCAGCTTTATTCATAATCCACAAGAACTGGAAACAGCCCAAATGTCCTTCAGCTGGTGAAGAGATGAACAAATCATGGCATATTCACATAATGGAATATTATCCGGCAATAAAAAGTAGCAAACTACTGATACATACAACAACATGTGTGAATCTCAATGCGTTATGTTAAGCGAAAGAAGACATACTCAAAAGGCTACATACTGTATGATTGCATTTATATGATATTCTGGAAAAGGAAAAACTTTAAGACATAAAATAGATCAGCAGTTGCCAGAGAATTATGATGTGTGGGTGGCTGGGTGGGGGGGGCTGACTCCAACCAGGCACAGAGAGCCTTTTGGGTTGATGGAACAGTATCTATATCTATCTTCTATATCTTGATTTTGGTGGTGATTGTGTGACTATATACATTTATCAAAACTCATCAAGATGTACATTAAAAGGTGAATTTTAGTATATATAAATTTTTTAAAGTAAGAGGGACAGACAGAAGATAGACAATGAAGTTTCTAAGGTCAAAGAGATGTTTTACTGATGGTGGGAGAGGCTTGAGCATGTTTGTAGGCCATGGGCCCAAGTTAGTAAATAGGAAGATGTTAAAGGTTATCTACCTTAAAGTTGATTTGAAAACATATTTTAAACATATAAATAAATACTTGCCCAAGATAAGTTGCAAGAAAAAGAAATGTGTGGTTTGTAATATTTTGTACTATTTTGTGAGGTTGATTTAAGTACTGAAGTTGAGTGCTCAGCATAAGTTAAATTACAAGTCTATAACTTTTAATGGATTCCCTATCATCTGCTCTGGGTACTTGTGCATACTTTTCTTGCTTAGTGAATGGATAGCTTTTCAAGATCCCTGCTTAATGTGATGGGTATTTCACATGGGTATTGTGGTTCCTAAGGACTAGTGACTCAGCTGTTGTTGTTGTTTTTAATATCTAAACTGTATTTATTTCTTAAAGGTGACGTTGGACCAAATGGACAACCTGGGCCAATGGGACCTCCTGGGCTACCAGGAATAGGTGTTCAGGGACCACCAGGGCCACCAGGAATTCCTGGACCAATAGGTCAACCTGGTAAGATTAGAGTAAATGTGCCTTTTTTTTTTTATGAGGAAGATTAGCCCTGAGCTAACATCCGGTGCCAATCCTCCTCTTTTCGCTGAGGGAGATTGGCCCTGGGCCAACATCCGTGCCCATCTTCGTCCACTTTATATGGGACGCCGCCACAGTGTGGTTTGACAAGCGGTGCGTCAGTCTGCGCCCGGGATCTGAACCCACGAACCCCAGGCCGCCGAAGCGGAACACGTGAATCCAACCGCTTCACAACTGGGCTGGCCCTAAATGTGCATTTTTGTAGCGCTCATTGTATAGAAGTTGGTTAGCTCATCAATAAAGTGCAACATATGTAACAGTCTTCCAGAAAACAGATTTGAGAGGTAACATGTCTACTTGTATAATTTTGTAAAAGTGAAAAAGTACAGCTCACTGCATAAGAGTTACTTTAATCCCTGATATTTTGCCTCCCTGTTCATTTAAATTTGATCTATTAACAATAATGCAATTTAACAATTGCAGAATGTTGCTGTGGCAACATTAAATGGAACATTTAATCATTCTTTAATTCACATGAACACATCAGATGACTTAAAACGCACAGTTCAGATTTACATACATTGACTTTGAAAGAGTGGAAATATATCTTCTGACCTTAAACGGCAATAGGTATTTTGTTAGTTATTGTGCTAAAAATCTAGAAACACCAATTAACAATATAAAAAGCATGGAAAGTAAAGATTATTTTTGTTTTATGTCCTGTGTAAAAAATTTCTTTTTGGAACATTGTACCTTTTTTTAATAGCCCCTAACATTAGTTACTACTAACTTAAAAATAAGAAAACTTACAGTGTTGCTTTGAACCGGGTTGTTAAAAAGTAGCTGCTTCAACACTCATGAAAAAACCATTCTGTCCAACTAGGATAGCAGAGGGATCTTGAGAAAAAACAATTAATTTTTAGGTTTGGCCATGATAGTCTTGGCCTGCTGTTCCACAAAGGTGGCTAAAATGAATTTATCATTTCTGTTGTGTTTTATATTTCTTTTATTTCCCAAAATTGCTTGAGGTTTTGGAAGCATGTTGAATTCTTACATCACAGCTGAGCAAGAATAAAAAGAGAACACTGTTAATAGCAATCTGAACAAATTAAAAATACATTTATTTGTGCTTTATGCTTTTTCAAATTTTGCTAATAGTCTGCAATGTTTCACTCATCTAATGTTCTCTCTTTCTCTTTTTGACTGATGGATACATAGATATATTGGTTTATAAAGTTTAGATAGGTTGGGCAGGGGGGAAAGTAATGGTGCTGAACTTAACCTCTTCTCTCTCTCTGTAAATGTATACTTTGCCTTAGATTTCAAGATCTTAACTAATATGGCTCAACAAACAAATGAAGTTAACAGCAACTGGCATGACAACGTATTGAATGCACTCTTATTAATATAGAAATGTTCTCAAATCACAATTTTTTTTACCACAGGATGGACCACAATTTATGTTTGATACTTGCTGCATATACAGTCATGTACTGCTTAACGACGGGGATCTGTTCTGAGAAACGAATCATTAGGCGATTTCGTCCTTGTGTGAACATCATAGAGTGTACTTACACAAACCTAGTTGGTATAGCCTACTACACACCTAGGCTATATGGTACTAATCTTATGGGACTACCATTGTATATGTGGTCTGTTGTTGACCGAAACAGTCGTTGTGTGGCACATGACTGTATTCACTTTTTAAGTAAGTTTTATTTATACCACCAAAGCAGAATATTATCTTAGCCCATTTCAAAAATATCATAATTTCTGTTCATACATTTTAATAACAGGGTGATCAGCAAGGTTATTACTAATATCTTGATACACCTGACTTATACCACAAGACTGAAATTCTAACTACCAATGTTTTTTTTTAAGAAGAAGCTTATTTAATATACTTGCTGTGTTTCATTTTGCAATAGAAAAGTTAATGCAAGGTATCCTATATTGTCATCTCTCAAGTGTAACATTTTCACATTATGCTTTTCAGGCTTTTCTTTTGACTCTAGTTTTCTGCTATTATTTAATTAAGCTTTACTATTTTTCATTCTCTTTTCCAATGCTTGTTTATAAATTAAGGACCTGTTGAATATCAATTCCTCATTTGACAGTAGGGAAATAAAAGAAAAAAAAATGCCAAGGGACAAGAAGCAAAATGCTTTTCATCCAGTGTTCTAGTAACCCAGGCAATGGGTTCCAGGAAATGGAAGTTGTTGATTCTTGTTATTTGATCTGGCCATTAGTGAGAAGATTACTGCTTTAGTGAATCTTTTTAAAGGTCATTTAAATACACTCAATTCCATGTCCACAGATCATACCCTAACCTGAGCCAAATGTGTTCTAATACTTGCCCAGTCTCAGGAAAAAGTGTGTGACAGAATCAGTTAAAGCTCATCACCACTAATGTGAATCAAAGAAACAAGGAATTAGTCATGTCATTTTCATAGATTGAGAGCACATTATATAGTTTTCTAAGTTTTGTTTGGCTATAAAACCCTTGGGCAGTGTGTGTGTGTGTGAGTTCTCATAGATAATACATGTTTTTGAAATTTTCCTTTTTTTCTATTAACTGGTTCCATTTGGCTGCCAATAAATTTAGAGCCTCTATACATTGCTAACGAACTTAGCTTCTATAGATATATCCATATAATTCCTGATATTGAATAAGGAGATGCAGCAGAGCTTTTGAATTTATGTTAACTTTCTTCATCCTGGATTTTACCAGGATGCCTATTCCTGATAGTATTCATGGAAAAGATCTATGCTGTGAAAAGTACAGCATAATATCTGTTATTACTAGTAATAATAACAATGAAGAAAGAAATCTTTGCCTAATACATGGGTTTAATCATAGTCATCCACTAATAATTATTGAATTCTCTGTACCTAACCTTAAGCTCTGTACTTAACCTTAAGCTCCAACCAAACTTTAGGAGCTTAAATTCCAAAATGATTATTGAAAGCAATATAAAGATCAGAGATACACAAGAGTGTAAAGCTAATCTTCATCAAGGAGTATTACTTTTTGTGACTGTAAATGTTTTATTGTGTCTCTATTGGCAAATACATTTCATTTATAGAATATGCTATATGAAAATCTGAGTGAATGCCTAAAAAAAGGTTCTTTACTCGTTACTAATATATGATAGTAGTGAATCAATATCTAATAACTTCTATTTGTAGACTTTTTTCTTCTAATCTTTACATGCTTAGTTTTGTTTCCTAACCTGATTAATCTTTCTGCAACTTGCTTCTGCTTGGGTGGCTCATCTTGCTGCTGAACTGTAACTCCCTACCTCTTGAACTTCAGGTCTATCAGGTACTGTAGTTCTTTCTCAAAAGCCGTATCTTAAAGTAAAGCTTTAAACATGGAAAACAAATAAGATTTTTCCAGATTTAAGTCTTTGGTTTCTTTTCATTATTTTGTAGAACTGCTCTCTTGAAGCATATTTCAAAGGACAAATTAGTTATCTTGAAAACTCAGCTATTAAAAAACTACCTGGGCTATAATATAACAATAGGCAGTGATCCATATAGAGCTATAATAGTGCTCATTATTAGTTATTTCATCATACTTTGCAAATATAATAATATAAAATCTCTCTTTCCTTTTTATAGTATTTTACTATGAAATGGCAGCATTGGAACCATTACCACTGTGCCAACTAAATGGAATTCTCTAATCTTCAGATTGAATTTTATCAGCTTAAGGACATGCTGGTGTATAATATCTAACAGAACTTAAAATCCCAGCATCTTGCTCTCTTATAAAAATAATTGCCTATGGATCTTCAACAACAGAAATTAGATCTTATTGTTGAAGGGACATTTGGAATGGTCACCTGGCAGCCCCTAGCTTCCAATCAGTTACTGCATATCCCCATTTAACAAAGGAGGACCAACAACATTAAGTGACTCTCTAAGTCACATAACTGATAGGTATTGGAGTGGGAACTTGCACCATGTTTATAGTTTAATTCTTTTCCCTAAACGTATTCTTTTTTAACCATCTTGTTGTCTGGAGTAGTTCATCTTACAGAAACTTACTAAGGATAAATATTTTTACAATGTCGTATTTTTTCTGTAAAATCCTGGTTGGAATACTAAGAAAAAAAAGTTAACAACAAAAACTAATGGTAGTGTATTATTAAAACAACATGTAAAACGAAACCAAAACAAGTGAAGAGGGTCTATGTAACTGACTTATTCAGTAATCAATCATTTTTATGGATTATGGAAACATATCCCAATAATTCATAATACCTAGAGCAATGCAAATCCAAGCATGGTCAATGGACCAGTGTCAGATGACAAACTGTTTGTTACCAGTCTGCATTGGAATTAGACGAAATTGAGAGTAAGCATTTAGAAACCTTTATAACAATTTGACAGTGTAATTATATTTGTTAAATGTGATACCCAAAAGGCAAGCTTGTATTTTGTCTGTCTTTTGTTTTTTATTTTAGCTTTTAGTGATTTTTATTGTATTTTATTAAAAATATTAGTCCATGATGGACCAGGAATTAAGAAAAGATTGGTCTTTCACCAGAAATAATTTGAGAAGCACTTTCTTAGAGAAATATGCTTGAAAATGCTAAAGTTTGATTGTTAGGTCATTTTATGTGCATGATGCCAAAAGTATCTCTAACTCACTGTTTGGTTTGTTATACACAGGATTCTATCACTTGTTTGCTAGAAAAATGATCAGATACATCTCTTAAAACTGCTTCAATACCTGTTAATATTGATGTTGTATTAACTAGGCTTGCTTGGCATACCAGGAGAGAAGGGGGATCCAGGGCCTCCTGGGTTTGATGTTCCAGGACCCCCTGGTGAGAGAGGCAGTCCAGGAATCCCTGGACCACCTGGTCCTATGGGACCCCCAGGATCACCAGGGCTCCCAGGAAAAGCAGGTGCCTCTGGCTTTCCAGGTAATTTGTTCGAAGTGTTCTTTGGTTTTGGATTCAGGAAATTCAAATTAATATGACTCTGGTATATTATTCTCTTGTTTTGCTTTTCTGAATTGACACTATCCCTTAAGGAAAAGTGTTAAATGTCTGACTGCAGGAAACTCACTTTGCTATTTGCATTACACTTTTTCTCTGTGAGAGTTCCAGTTATATATTGCTGTATAACACACGACCCCAAAATTTAATGATTTTTTTTTTTTATATTTTGTATGATTTATTTCTTTGAAAATATATACACTGCTCTAAAATTTAATGATTTAAATCAACCTTTTTATTTTGCTCAAGATTTTGCGGGTCAGGAATTAAGGGATGGCTTGACGGGGTCGTTTATCTCTCATCCACATGGCACCAGCTAGAATGGTTAGTGGTAAAGGATCTACTTACAAGATGGTGCTTATCTGACCCCTGAGTGTTCCTTGGCCTCTTCACATGGTATCTCGTTTCCCATAGTGCCTCTTCACATGGCTTGAGCTCCTAACATTATAACAGTGTCAGGGTAGTTGCTCTCCTTCCAGTGCAGCTGGCTTCCAAAAGAGAATACCCAAAACCAAAAGTGAATGTTCTGAGAGTCCCAGCTGGAAGCTACAAGACTTGTTATGATCTAGCTTTGAGAATCATAGTGTCGTTTAGTGAAGGGCAAGGCACAGAGTCAGCCTAAATTCAAGGGGAGAAGGCTACACAAGGGTGTGTATACTGTGAAGTGTGGTTCACTGGGGGGCCATCTTTGGAGATGAGCTACCACAGTGAGTCTTTTTATTCATGGATGTTGACAATAGTGACTAAGTTTACAACAGTTGAGAAGAGGTAAAATTAGTGCCTTCCCTCCAACCCTCAATAGTTTTCCAGCTATCTTAAAACTTATCTTTTATCTTTCCAAGGTCAAGGAAAGGTAAAAGTTACTTATTGATATTCTTCTAAGGTGCCAAAGGTGAAATGGGTATGATGGGACCTCCAGGCCCACCAGGACCTTTGGGAATTCCTGGCAGGAGTGGTGTTCCTGGTCTCAAAGGTAATATTCAAAGTTTGCTGACAGATGCGTATAAGAGTAAAAATTAAACATTGCTTTATGTCAATACAGAATATTTTATTTGACTGCTTTAAAATGATCAATGCTTACTTGAACTTTCTTTCTATGTGACGTGGCATTTAAATAGGTCCTGTTATCGATTTGGTGGCATGCTCAGTTTAGATACCATGAAACACAGTAAATGCTTAGCTCAACATAACAAAATATAAAGACTAAATTTTGATATTTTTTTATAGTCTCTATAATTGTCAGAGAATCCCAGGAGAAAGGGACATTATTATTTGAGTGTAAAAATGTATGTGAGCTCAAGTTATTCATAGACAATAAGCAAGGTGCGTAAATGTTTTGGGTGGTCAGCAGCCTATCCAGCTATGGAACATAAGAATAATCTTTGTATGCGTTAATCCTGCATGGATGAATCTAATCTGTTGTGTCTTCCCCACACATCTTGGTTTTAGGTGATGATGGTTTGCAGGGTCAGCCAGGACCTCCTGGCCCTGCAGGAGAAAAAGGTGGTAAAGGAGAGCCTGGCCTTCCAGGCCCTCCTGGACCAATGGATCCAGATCTGCTGGGCTCAAAAGGAGAGAAGGGGGACCCTGGATTACCAGGTAAGTGAATGCATTTATCTATGAATGCGTTTCCTGATATATCTGAAGTTTAATTTTTAATCGCATGAAAAGTGACTTGTAGTCCAGGATTCACCACCAAAAGGCACTTAGATGCATCAAATTTTGGTAATGAAAATTGTTTCACTTGATTTGTACTGTTTCACTGATCAACTTTTGTTGAGTATTTTCTTCATAGTTTATCTATGAAGTGAGGTTTTAAAATATTTTAGGCTTAGGCAGTCACTTTCAGGCCTTCCAGGAAGTAGTATAGAATATGGTTGAGAGAAAAGGATGTATAACTGGAATCACTTGGAAAACAGATTTCATTGTTTGGGAAATTTGCTGATCCTTTAATTTTGTTTCCCTTGAAACCAGATAGGGATGAGTGGTACGTTGCTGCTCTGCAGTGTTTTGCTATCCATATCATACTTGGCTTTTAAATATAGTTCACTGTGATTCTACCTTGGCAGAATAAACAAGTATTGCAATATGAACAGCCAAGCTCAGCCCTGGGGGAAGTAGCTGAAAGTAGGTCTAGGGAACAACTGTGTTATTCTGGTTATTTTATTAGAAGCAAATAAAGTATGAAGTATAACAATGATTTTTTAATCTAAAAAAATCTTTTTTTCTTTTTATAAAAGTATAACATATTCATAACAAAGCATCAGAAAATATGGATAAGCACAACTTAATAAATAAAGCACTTTGTATATGCTACATATCCAATTTATATAGAATATCCTTTCAAACAACATGGAACTTTAAAACTAGCTATGTTTAATTGCAACTTATAGTAAAATTTGTGGCTCTTTTTGTGTTATAACCATTAACATTGTCAGTTCATGTGTGTGTGTACAGATGTTATAAAGTTCCCTATGAGCGGGACTTGGGATTTTTCCTCAAAAAAGAGTTTACGACATTACTGTAGTTTTGTATATAGTCACAAAAGAGGTAGGACCACCTAATTTTTTATCATTGCTAAAATGAGATATCTGTCTTGACTTATTCATTGCAAGACTTTTCTTTCAATTAGGCCTTCTGTAAATTAGAGGCAGTAAACTATACTTGCCTCTAATATAGGGTTATTAAAGATAGTTGTAGAATCTAAGAGAGAGCCTAGAGGTAATCTGCCCCAATTCCTTCATTTTGTAGTGTAAGAAACAGAGGCCTAAAGAGGAAAGTGACTTAATTATTGAGTGCTCTGAATTTCTTAATGGCAGCTAAATAAAAAGTGGAAGATTTTAGTATGAGTCCAGTGCTATTGGTTCATACTATATCAGAATATCACTGGTTCTTATAGTTCACTCATAGTTCAGAATTTGGGTAGCTTGCTTTACCAAATTCATTTAATGGATTAATAATATCAGCCTAACTTGTATTTCCTATACTCATCCTCGGAAGGTATTCCTGGAGTTTCAGGGCCAAAAGGTTACCAGGGTTTGCCTGGAGACCCAGGGCAACCTGGACTGAGTGGACAACCTGGATTACCAGGACCATCAGGTAAGTATGATAGACCACCTGTAGCAATTGGATGGCTGATCCTGAACCCTGGAAAACTAATTATGTATTTATCTTGTGTGATGTTTTGGATCTAGTCGTGGCAATATACTTGGGTAGCTACCAAGGTGTGGAGCTCTCCCTTAGCAAAAATGTTGCCATTTGGCCTGAGTGTCAACAGACAAGATTTGTAGGATATTTTGCTTTGCTCACTTTCTTCTTTTTGTGGCAGCAGGGTGTACATAAAATCAGAAGTACATCCAAGTAAAGTACTGTGTTTTATTTACATACATTGCAACATATGTAAATAAGACAATTATCTGGTAGGAGCCTGAAGAATTCACCTTTTTCAGTTCTTCAAACAAGTCAGTCATTAAACCATGTAAAACAGATGGCTGCCGATTCTATTTTTAAAAGTTTCTAGGAATGAAAATTTCACAACCTACCTTCGTAGTCTGTTATAGCATTAATCACTCTTGCAGTCAACATGGAAGTTTTTTTCTTATTTCTAATAAAACTCTTTCTTGCTGCTTCTTAACCCATTTTCTTTTAGTTGGGCCCGAACGGAATAAAGAGCTGCCAGTCCCCATCCTCATAAGAGCCCTTTAGGTCAGTTATTCTTTTCTAGACTCTGCACTACATTGCCTTGATGTAGTGGGAGGAAGAAATTCTCTCCTTTTCTACCTTCACATTTTCGGCATTCTCTTCCCCCAAGTTGGAAGTCAGTGTGAAAGAAAAAATAAAAAAATGTTTAAGGCAACATTTTGGTCCTTGGAAAATTCCTAAGTGATACCACAGAACTCAGGTACCTAATAAGCTCTAGGAAAAATGTGTAAACAGAGCAACTATGACTTTTGGGAATGACAGTCCCATACCTCTCCATCCACTCTTATCTATCCCTGGCCTAATAAACTGAAGGTATATCATGACAGGTAACCACTTTCCTCTTCCTGGTCTCACATAAACATGGGAATGCCACTTTTGAATCTTTTGCAAACAGACTCAATATATTGGATTTATCTGTGATAAATACAGTAAGGGTAGTTATACACATACAACAAATAGAACTTACAAGCGACTGGAATTGTTTTAAAGCAAGAAACAAGGTGTCCTGGTAAAAATTCTTGCGTTTTTAAAATAAATTTATGTTAGAAGACCTCTATCGCCATGATTATATTGTAATATGTTCCTAAGGGGATTTCTTGGGTAACTCTTGCCTGTTTTATGCTGAATTAGATCTGTGGAACTGAGTCACATGTTAAGATTTGATCCATCCAAGCCCATACTTGCATTTTAATTATGACCCACTCCAAGAAACCAGGAAACTCCAATATTGCTGACTTGTATTAATTTTAACAATTTGACTTTTCTAGGTCCCAAGGGTAACCCTGGTCTCCCTGGGAAGCCAGGACTTACAGGACCTCCTGGACTTAAAGGAAACATAGGTGATATGGGTTTTCCAGGTGAGTGTTGAAAATCTCCCAAAGATTTAGTCCCATTAATGGAAGATGGTTCACTATCTTTGTTATCAGAAAAGAGACTGGTGTTGATAGAATCAAACGGAGACAATATCTAAGATAATCTGTGGGTAGAGCTCTCTTATTACACAAATATTTGAGATGGGAATTAAGGGACAAAGTTTTAGAAACCTTAAAAGTAAGAATTCACTAACTTATATCTTTTACCCAGCTGTACCCGTTTCACTTAGACTTCCTTAAAAAATAAGCTTTTGGTTGTAAAGCTCATTATTATATAACACAGAATTTGCAGAGTTCTTTTTTTAAATCTTTTTGCTTGGTCGTATGCATTATAGATATGCGGTGAATAAAGAATATTTTGTAAAATATTGCATGTTACGTGTTTTCAACAGGCCCTCAGGGTGTGAAAGGGTCTCCTGGATCTCCTGGAGTTCCTGGACAACCTGGCTCCCCAGGATTACCTGGACAGAAAGGAGAAAAAGGTGATCCTGGTGTTTCGGGTATTGGTCTTCCTGGTCTTCCTGGCCCAAAGGTAATCCTACTCTTGGCATATACCTGAGCAGATGTGATTTTTCTTTAATACTGTGTTTGTTCTTAATTATTCCTTAAACAAAGTATAGAATGATATAGTATAATATGGGTAAGAAATTAATTCCTGTCTTTTCTCTTATATTGTAAGAAGGTGTGTTTTAGGGTTTGCAGCCAGTCCAAAAAAAGGAGGGAAAGCTTTGATTCCTTTGTTTTCCCTCTATCTTAATCTCTGAGTATGTTTCAGTAAACCAAAAGCATATTTCTGCCTGGTTTTGATTTTCTTTTCTCTTTTTAGTCATGGAGTTTTTGGTCTTTGTCCTAATATTACTACTAATTTGAAGAGACTTATAAACAAAGTAACTTATGCAATTAATGAAAGTGCAGTAGTACTCAACTGCATATCTGAGGTAGTTCTCTGAAAACAGTTTTACATATCTCTCTATGCCCCTAGTCAACGTGAAAACTTTGTTTTTGTTTCTCAAGCAATCAAATTTAGAACTTGTTTTAGAATAATGGTGCTCAACAAATATTTGATAACTGCTTAAGTCCATGTAAAAAGGTAATAACTCTTACTGATTTGTAGAAGTATTTGTAACTAGCAGAGATGCATCCATTGTCTATTATACATGTCGCAGATATTTTCTCCCAGTCAATCGTTTGTCTTATAACGGTTTAATCATTCAGTCAGACCACAAAGCTAAGGAGTATTAGACAAGGAATTGTGTTACTCAACTTCCATGGAATTAGTGAAATTTCCCACTGAGATAAGAATTTACTGAATAATATTTTAAAGATAATTTCTTTTTAATAGTATACAGAAAGACTATAGTTTGATTGCCTAGCTGATCAACTTATTGTAAAAGATAATCAAGAGAAGTTTCTGCATATTGATTGTGGATTAACAATGTAAAGTTTATTGAAATGAATTTTAATTTTTTCTGTTCTATTTAAATTTTATCAGTAATACATGAATATATATTTTTATTAAAATAATAATACAGACATATCAAGGGTAACAGTGAAAATCTCCTTCATAACATATCTTGTTTACTCCATTCCCTTCCCCGTAGAGAACCACTGTTAATAGTTGGTGTGTATATTTGAATCACTTACTCTACATATTTATATATATATATTTATGCACACACACAGAATTTTGTTTTTCTACACATCATATGTATGTAGAGTTATAGAACACACTATTCTGTATGTTGCTTTATCACATATCTTTTCATCTTTTCTTTATTCAATATATCTTAGACGATATTCTTTGTCATTGTACATTATTTTTTTTATTGAGGTAAAATCGGTATACAACATTGTATAAGTTTTAGGTGTACAACATTATAATTTGATATTTGTATATACTACAAAGTGATCATCACCATAAGTCTAGATACCATCCCTCACTATACAAATGAGCCTTCACCCATTTTGCCAACCCCCTAACCCCCTTCCCCTCTGGTCACCACCAATCTGTGCTGTGTATCTATGAGTTTGTTTGTGCTTTGTTTTGTTTGTTCATTTGTTTTGTTTTTTAGATTCCACGTGTAAGTGAAATCATGCAGTATTTGTCTGTGTCCATCTGCCTTATTTCACTTAGCATGATACCCTCAAGGTCCATCCATGTTGTCAAAAATGGCAAGATTTCCTTCTTTACTATGGCTGAGTAGTATTCCATTGTGTGTATATATATATCATGTCTTCTTTATCCATTCATCCATTGATGGACACTTGGGTTGTTTCCATTTCTTGGTTATTGTAAATAATGCTGTAATGAACACAGGGGTGAATATATCATTTCAAATTAGTGTTTTCATATTCCTTGGATGAAGACACAGAAGTGGACTAGCTGGGTCATATGGTAGTTCTATTTTTAATTTTTTGAGGAATCTCAATACTGTTTTCCATAGTTACTGCACCAATTTGCATTCTGACCAACAGGGTACAAGGGTTCCCTTTTCTCCATATCCTCTTCAACACTTATTATTTCTTGTCTTTTTGATAGTAGCCAATCTAACAGATCTGAAGTGATATCTCATTGTAGTTTTGATTTGCATTTCTCTGATGATTAGTGATGTTGAACATCTTTTTATGTGCCTGTGAGCCATCTGTATGTCTTCTTTGGAAAAATGTCTAGTCAGATCTTCTCCCCATGTTTTAAGTGGGTTGTTTGGTTTTTTGTTGTTGAGTTGTATGAGTTCTTTCTATGTTTTGGATATTAACCTATTATTGGATATATGATTTGCAAATATTTTCTCCCATTCAGTAGGTTGCCTTTTCATTTTGTTGATGGTTTCTTTTGCTGTGCAGAAGCTTTTTAGTTTGATGTAGTCCCATTTGTTTATTTTCGCTTTTGTTTCCCTTGCCTTTGGAGTCATATTAAAAAAAAAACATCACTAAGACCAGTGTCAGGGAGCTTACTGCTTATGTTTTCTTCTAGGAATTTGTGGCTTCAGGTCTTACATTCAAATATTTAATCCATTTTGACATAACTTTTGTGCGTGGTATAAGATAGTGTCTGGTTTCACTCTTTTGCAGGTGGCTGTTCAGTTTTCCCAACACCATTTATTGAAGAGACTGTCCTTCCCCACTGTATGTTTTTGGCTCCTTTGTTACAAATTAATTGACCGTATATGTGTGGGTTTATTTGTCAGCTCTGTATTCTGTTTCATTGATCTGTGTAGTCTGTTTTTATGCCAATACCATACTGTTTTGATTACTATAGCTTTGTAGTATAGTTTGAAATCAGGGTGCATGATACCTCCAGCTTTGTTCTCCTTTCTCAAGATTCCTTTGGCTATTAGGGGTCTTTTGGTTCCATACAAATTTTAGAATTATTTGTTCTATTTCTGTGAAAAATGCCATTGGGATTTTCATAGGAATTGCATTGAATCTGTAGATTGCTTTGGGTAGTATGAACATTTTAACAATGTTAATTCTTCTAATCCATGAGCACGTTATATCTTTCCATTTGTTTGTGTCTTTGTTCATTTCTTTTATCATTGTCTTATAGTTTTCAGTATAGAGGTTTTTCACCTCCTTGGTTAAATTTATTCCTAGATATTTTATTTTTTTTAATGCAATTGTAAATTAAATTGTTTTCTTAATTTCTCTTTCTGCTAGTTTGTTATTCTTGTATAGAAACACAACAGATTTTTTTATATTGATTTTGTGTCCTGCAACTTTGCTGAATTTATTAGTTCTAATAGTTTTTAGTGGAGTCTTTAGGGTTTTCTATATATAATATAATGTCATCTGCAAATAGTGAAAGTTTTACTTCTTCCTTTCGTTTTTGGATGCCTCTTATTTCTTTTTCTTGCCTAATTGCTCCAGCTAGGATTTCAAATACCATGTTGAGTAAAAGTAGTGAGAGTGGGCATCCTTGTCTTATTCCTGATCTTAGAGAAAATGCTTTCAGCTTTTCACCATTGAGTATGATGTTAGCTGTGGGTTTGTCATAAATGGCCTTTATTATATTGAGGTACATTCCCTCTATACCCATTTTACTGAGAGTTTTCATCATAAATGGATGTTGGATCTTGTCAAATGCTTTTCCTGCATCTATTGAGATGATCATATGATTTTTATTCTTCATTTTATTAATGTAGTGTATCATGTTGATTGATTTATGGATGTTGAGCCATCCCTGCATCCCTGGAATAAATCCCAGTTGGTCATGGGGTATGATCCTTCTAATATATTGTTGAATTCAGTGTGCTAATAATTTGTTGAGGATTTTTGTATCTATGTTCATCACGGATATTGGCCTATAATATTTGTGTGTGTGTGTTTGGTGTCCTTGTCTGGTTTTGGTATCAGGGTAATCCTGGCCTTGTAAAATGAGTTTGGAAGTGTTCCTTCCTCTTCAGTTTTTTGCAAGAGTTTGAGAAGGATAGGTATGAAATCTTCTTTGAATGTTTGGTCGTCTGGTCTAGACTTTTGTTTGTTGGGAGATTTTTGATTACTGATTCAATTTCCTTGCTAGTAATTGGTATATTCAGATTTTCTATTTCTTAATGATTTAGTCTTGGAAAGTTGTACGTTTCTACACATTTCTCCTAGGTTGTCCAATTAGTTGGTATTGTCGGGGGAAGAGGGAGAATCTCCCTCTGCCCTTTCCCTTAAGGTTCTTCTGGCTGGTCAAATAATCAACAAGACAGGTTAGCAGGAGAAAATAATACCAAGTTTAGTAACGTGTATACATGGGAGAAAGCAGGGACACTGCGTTTCTCAACACAATAGCAGAAATTCTCGTCTTAAATATCTTTTTCAGCCAATGACAAAGGAGGATTTTGGCGGTGGGGGGAGTCAGTTGCAGGAGATTACCACTAAAGCACAGTAAAAAAGAGTAAGGTTTATTATGTAGCTCAAGGCCTCACCTTCCACATTGATAAGTCACTAGAGATGAGCTCATCCCCCTCTCTTCACCAAACAGAGAGGGAGATACCTTAGCAAATGGAGATTTCCCTTATAAATGTAAATGATTGTCTGGCAACTCTTCGCAGGGTCATCCAGAGAATGTGGCCAGAGAGACAGAACTTCTGATAAGAGGGGCTTGTTGGTGCCTTCCTATTGTAACATTTACCCTACGTTATCTTTACAGCCATCATGATAGATCTGTTCCAGGAAGGAGCCACCATATCAAATTCTTTAGGCAGTTAGTGGGGGAGGTCAAATGTCCCTAGAGAAAACAACCAAGGTAAAGAGATAGATTTCAGGGTGGCCAAATCTTGATCTCCCACAGTATATAATTGTTTGTAGTAGTCTCTTATGATCCTTTGTATATCTGTGGTATCAGTTGTAATTTCTCCTCTTTCATTCCTGACTTTATTTGAGCTCTCTTTCTTTCTCTTTCTTGGCGAGTCTAGCTAAAGGTTTGTCAGTTTTGTTTATCTTTCCAAAGGAACAGCTCTTGGTTTCATTGATCTTTTCTTTTGTCTTTTTAGTCTCTATTTCATTTATTTCAACTCTGATCTTTATTATTTCCTTGCTTCCACT